TCTCCAATCCTCCATCTGTCTTTCTGTTTCATTTTACAGTCATTTCCTTAACCTGTTCTTCTAACTCTCCTGTTCGTGTGGGTTTTTTTTTTTTCTTCTTTTCATTTCTATCTTGATCATCATTCCATGAGCTCTTTGCTTATTCTCAGGAATTTTTAAAATGCCTGTTTTATGGCTGTGATGTCTCTTCTCTTTCTGAAGATATTAATGAATTTTTTTCCCTGGAAAAGTTCTTCTCCCTCAATGATGGTTTATGTTTTTCCTTCTTTGTATTTACTTGTATTCACATTACAACCTTCCCTTAAATATTTGGTGAGCCTTTTCTGCATACTCACCCAAGAGGGAAACACTAAAAACTGGTTGAAAGTTCTCTGATGTTGAGGGCTTCCTGACAGTTCTCTACAGGGACTCTGCTGGGTCCTTTCACTGAGGATTCCCCTCTCCCACTAAATATCAGTATATTCTAGTCTCTTCTCCCAGCCTGTTTAGATTTTTTCTAAAAGGCCCTCCAACTCTTTCAGGAAAAGGTATAAGGCTGAGAGCCAACAGAGGAAGACAACTAAGAATTTCAACACTTAGTAACCCTTTGCTCTTGATTTTAGGATTTCAGGCCACACCCTCAACTGTGCCTGCTGTCTCTTGGAGCAGAGACCCTCTATGGGGACTTCCCCAACGGCTCAATGGGTAAAAAAATCCACCTGCAGTGCAGAAGATACAGGAGACCTGGGTTCGATCCCTGGGTTGGGAAGATCCCCTGGAGGAGGAAAATGGCTACACACTCCAGTACTCTTGCCTGGAGAATCCCATGGACAGAGGAGCCTGGCAGGCTACAGTCCGTGGGATCACAAAGAATCGGACATGACTGAGCGGCCGAGCATGTGCAGCAGCAGAGAAGACATCTCCAGTTGTGTCCGAGTGAGGAAGGGACAGCGGCCCCAGTGCCTGGAAGGAGGACAGAATCGGAAGCTCCAGCTGCTTCTTAAACAGACCCCTGATCAACCCTGCTCCTCAGCTCCATCTTTCCCTCCGTCCCAGAGGTACCCAGTGCTGTCAATTCTTAACCTTTCTGAAGGAGTCCGCAGTGCAAACTAGGTGGCTTCTCAGTTTTCCCCACAGCCAGCTTAAGCAGCTTTGAGTCACCTGAGTCTCTATCACCTCTCAATTCGCTTTTGGTTCCTAACTGTACTGCTGCTGTTTCCCTTCCTGCTGCTCTTTCCACCCCGTTCCCCAACACTCCTCCCAGGACTTAAGCCTTAAAAAAAAAAAATCATTCTGGAGTCATTCTGATTTTCTGAAAAGAGGAAGTTTCAATATGTATCCAATTCAGCCCTAACTGGGAATCTCAGAGTTTTGATTTTTATATTTTCTAATTTTAAAAATATTTGAGGTCATTATATACATTGCTACGTCCACAATTCTTCACATTTTCAAGAAATCAGGCCCTCAGTCTATAGTCTCTTTTGTTTAGGAAGGAGGACTTTTTTCCCCTCAAATCAGCCGTCTAGAAAATCTTAGGTTTGGAAAGGCAGCCTAAAAGCATAGACTAGTCACTTAACTCATTAGCTCCACCTTGTGGTCTCTGGGGGGAGAAGGCGTGTAGGCCAAAGAAATCATCAGACTGGATCTGGACTTCATCATAGTACGTGAAGTTTAAGTCAGACAGAGAAAGATTAATATCATGTGATACTACTCACATGTAGAATCCAATTTTTAGAAAATGATACACATGAACTTACAAAACAGAAATAGACATATATATCAAAAACGAACATGGTTAACAAAAGGGAAATGTGGTGGGGGAGGGATAGATCAGGAGCTTGGGATTAACATGCATACACTACCATATATCAAATAGATAACCAAGAAGGACCTACTGTATACAGGGAATTCTACTCAGTATTCTGTAATAACTTATGGGGAAAGGTCTGAAACAGGATGAATATATGTATAACTGAATCACTCTGTTGTACACCTGAAACAAGCACAGCACTGTAAAATCAACTATACTCCAAAAAAAAGTTTTTTAAGAAAAATGAAAAATAAATCAAGAAATCATATGGCAATGAAATAATCAGAATTTTAAAAATAGGCTGTCTTCTAACCCAAACTTCATAGCTACATCTTACACCTCGAATCACGATCAGCAGTGACTTCCACATTATTAAGTCTGATGGTCACTGCTTATCATGCTCTTTTTAACAGTTGTTTCTCTCGGCTTCACTAAGGTCCTCCTCTACTCCTCTTCCTATTACACTGACCATTCCTTCTCAGGCTCCTTTCTCCTCCTTGTCCATCCCCCTAATTAGGTGCTAGACCACTAAATACTGGAAGATACAGGAAGAGTCCTGGACTGTTTGCCTCAGTCTCATCTCCCCCAGATGATGGCCCCAACTCTCATAGATTTAAATGCCATCTATCAACAAATGACTCCCAAATTTCTACTCCTTCTGAACTCATAAGCAGCTGTCATGACAGCTCTACTTTAATGTCTAATAGGCACTTTTTTTAAACTTAGTATGGCCAAAACAACTTGATTCCCAACTGTTCTCCTCCAAACTTCCCCACCTCACTAAAGAGGACCACTATCAACACAGTTGCTGAAGCCCAAAACCTAGGAGTCATCCTCAATTCCCTCATTTCTCACTTTCCATTAACATAGCAGCAAGTCTAGTTGGTCCTTCACACAAAATATACCCCAAGTTTGCTCATTTCTCCAAGCTCTACCACTTAGTTATCTGCTACTAGGCTCCCTGCAACAGTTTCCTAATGGTCTACAGACCTTTATCTCTCTCTCTCCCTCTCCCTGACCCTTTCTCTCCACAATCCATCCTTCATTATTATAGCATTAGCTGTCTTCTTAAAGTACAAACCGTATCCTGTCATTTCCCTGCATGAAACCAAATGGCTTCTCTTTTATCCCTAAGAACAAAATCCAGGCTTACCAGCTGTGACCTTTAAGATACTACCGTATGTCTCGTCATATCTCATCCTTTACTTATTTGACCTCCTCACCTCCCACCTTTACTTATTTGACCTCCCTACCTCCCACCTTTACTTATTTGACCTCCCCACCTCCCACCCACTCCCTTGCTCAACTGGCTCCACTTGCATTGGCCTTTACTCTATCACTCTCTCCTCTGACTCTCATCTCACTAGTCATCACCCAGTACCTCTGAGACAGGCATGCTCTTTGACTTGTAGATAAACCTACTATAAGTTATTAAAAATAAAAAGATACGTGTCATACAATAGTTATGTATCTGTAAACGTTCTAAACGCACCACACTGTCAGCTTCAATTAAATATTCACTGACTATCTTCCATGAATAAGACAGTGTGAGATATGAAGTATAGGGCCCTTCCCTAACTTTCTTAAATAAAGCTTCTCCAACTCCTGGCCTGGTCATAATGACACTAGTGCTCAAAAAGCACTGCTAGAACTTTGCTAAAGACTCTAATGTGTTCTCTCTCCCAGCCCATCACTATCATAATCATATTTTATATACACGCTGTGTATAGAATGTGAGCCCATATAAGGGCTCACCTGCAGATGTCTGCAGCGTGTTTGAGTCCTGAGCCTGAGGGTAACTTTGGTACCCTTCTCTCTCAAGCATTGCTCACTCCACAGTATTCTTGGAAACACATCTTCAACCACCAATCCCATACAAGCTGTCTTCATTGTCCACTGAACATTATTCATCAGTTCCACATGGCCTCACAGTGCCTTTTTTCTGTGCTTTTTCCCTGCCTCTGAAGGGAACAGAATGTACCGCGCCACAACTACACTTAAAGACAATGTGAGCCTCAGCCTTGAAAAGCAGGAACTGATCCAGTTTCTCTCGCCAACAGTAAAGACACAAATATAAGGTGGCTGCTCATTAGACCTGGAACAGAGAAAAGATCTACCCATGAGCCTCTGCTTCTTCATCTATAAAAATGAGCAAGTTAGCCAAGATGAACCTTGCCCACCATCATAGGCGTTCCCCGCAGCTACACTCTCCAACCAGTCTAAGTGCAGGCTGGGGCAGTTTCTAATGTGGACATTAAAGCATTTGATCCTGTACCTGAATCTTAGCACTTCTGTCCTAAAATTTTACAATGATATGCTTTGGGTTGGTTTTCAGTCCAGTCCTTTTGCTGGGTAATCAACCTGTCCTTTTAATCTAAAGACTTATGCCCTTTGGTTTAGGGAAACTTTCTTGTATTGCTTCTTTCATAATTTCCTTTTCTCAGTTTTCTCTGTTCTTTCCATCAAGAACTCTTATCAATCAGATGCTGAACCTTTAAGATTAATCCTCTACATCTTTTATCATTCTTTCACATTTTCAGTATTTTTGCATTTTTGTTCTACTTTCCAACTACATTTTGAATTTGTTTTACAATACTTGCCAAGATTTCCTCAGCCTCATTTTCCAACTGTGCTCTTCAATTTTATTTTAGCAATCATACTTTAACTTCAAAGAGCTCTAATTATTATTCAATTGTTCTTTTCCCACAACATATTGTTCTTTATCAAATGTTGTATCTCAAACTCTCAGAGAGCTCTAGCTAGCTCCCCCTCTAAGATTCTAGTAAGAATCTCTTCCAAACTCTTTTTTTTTTTTAATTCGCATACTTGTATTCATCATGTGTTCTTTTTACATGTTCAAGAAAGAGGTCAGTCCACATGTCTGATCCTGCCCATCTAGGAAGAAGGAAGCCTAAGTGAAGTGAAGTGAAGTGAAGGTCGCTCAGTCATGTCTGACTCTTTGCGACTCTGTGGACTATACAGTCCATGGAATTCTCCAGGCCAGAATACTGGAGCAGGTAGCTGTTCCCTTCTCCAGGGGATCTTTCCAACCCAGGGATCGAACCCAGGTCTATCACATTCCAGGCAGATTCTGTACCAGCTGAGCCGCCAGGGAAGCCTGACACCACATGCAAACAGGCAACAGCCAATCCGTTTTTGGTTACTGACAATAAAGAAAGTACCGAGGCGCACAAGGAGGGGGCCAGCTTACCTTCATGGAGTCAGAGTATAAAATGTACTCCCTGAGCACAGGTAGAAAGTCTTCTGTCGTGTCGTCGGTCAGCTCCTCCAAGGCGGCAGAGCAGCTGCCGATGCAGGCTGACACCCCCTCCAGGGGCTCCGCCAGCTCCCCCTCTAGCGCGCTCCACGTGGAGTACACGGGCCCGTATTCCCGCAGCTCCACAAGGTACTCTGAAGGGGGCAGAGAAACCAGCTGACATCTGGCTGGGCAGCAACCACTGGTACTCCTGACTCAATAACCACTGCAGCAGAGAGCTCTCTGAGCATGCTTGCCTTTAAACACTGCACTGATTGCAACGGAATATTTTTTACAGCCTCTGTAAGCTGATGTTACAGCTAACATCATAACATCAACCAACTCCACTCCATAATGGGAATGTCATGCCTCTGGATAATGGGAGCCACCATGCCTTCAGGGGGAAAGTGCTGGGAGTGACATCCACTAAATATCTTCCAAAGAACCTACTCACCTACCCCTACAGTGAAGCAATATTTTGACAGGCCATGAAAGCAGAGTTTCATATAGGTTTAGGGGGATGTTTTCAAAAGAAAAAAAAAAAAAAAGAAAATCAGTTATGGTGGAAAAACAACGGAATTTTAGGAATACTTGATATAAGGAAATGTGGTCTTACGTAGGCAGACTCGCTTTCTCACTCAGGGGTCACCCCAACACCTTGGGCCCATCAGAATTTACCCGATATGATCTTTAGGTGTGGGTGGTACCTAAAGCCATCTCTAAAACCTGCAGGCCTACATGAGACCAGCAGCAGGTACAGGAGAATTAAAACAGAGAACAGGGCAATATGTTGTTTTATTTCTCTTCACAAAGAAAATCTGGCCATCAATTGTCACCAGGATTCTTGTCATTACGATAAAACATTGCTGCCGTTTTTTAGTAACCAATGCACTGCAGCTACCAGGAAATCCTTTCCTACGTTTCACATCACATGCCAGCATGATCACTAATACTGTTCAGGTGTGTTTGGCCTACACGTGCGTAAGACAAAAGGCCCCCACATTCTGGGAAACAGAAAAGCAAGTGGCCAAGAGAGGGGTGGGGATGAAGCAGTGGCAGCAACCAGGAAGGTTAAAGAAAGGCCTCGTAACTCCTCCGGTCAGGAAGAGTGGGCTTGAAATGAAGCCAAGGAGTGGCAGGTGAGTCAATTTCAAGTCTGAAACCTCCTTAGGATCAGACTTTGGCAAACACGGGCTGTCCTTTTGAATTGCCTTTCTGCCAGAAAAGATACTTAAGGTTAATTTTTAAATGATCGTACCTATGGATGAGAGAGAGGATGGCATCCAACCAGCTCATCCTCTGGCAGTGGAAGAAGGAAAGTTGAGAGAGAGATAAAACTAGAAAAGCCTAACAGCTCAGAGTGGCTTTTTGCTGTGGTGAAATCAAACACAGGATGAAATGCAGGGCCAGGGATGGAGTACAAAATTACCCTCTGGTTTTAACTACCTCCCCTGCTCCTTGTGTATATGTGTGCGTGTTGGTTTTATGAGCATAGTGTGGCCTGGTTCTGCCACTCCAGCATTTCAGCAGTTTGATTCTGCCTGGCACACACGAGTGCCATTTCTGCAAACGTGGTCCACGGGCCTGATCCAGACCTTGACAGAGAGCTCACCTATTTCTTCCTTGATGATCCGCTGGGCTATTCGGTCGATGGTTCCCAGCTTGAGTGCAAACGTGTCTAAGTACTCGCCGATGGCTGCGAATTCAAGAGGCCGACTTCTCAGCTTGTAGCCGCCAGCGACATGCTTGACCGACTCGCCCACCCGAGTCAGCAGTGCCATCCCTTGCTTCTTGTGGGCGTTCAGGTCCTAAGGATAACACACGGAAAGACAGAACTCAAAGGGCTCACCCACTCACATGGCCAGGATTCAGTAAACCCATTCCTTTAGGAAATGGAGGACTCAGAAAATAAGGGACTGGGGACCCCCTGGTGGTCAAGTGGTTAAAAGTCCACCTTGTGATGCAGGAGAGGTGGGGGGTTCAGTTCCGTTGGGGAAATAAGCTCCTGAATACTGCAGTACAACTAAGATGCGACACAGCCAAATAAAGAAATAGTTTGTTTTAATTATTAAAAAAGAAAAAGAAAAGTAGCTGAGTTAGGTAAAGGACTAACCACACACACACAGACACACACACGTCTCCTCACCTTTGTCACTGTGGCCACCACGCTCACACCCCTGCACCTGTATGCCAGGTCTCTCTCTCCAGAGCTGGACTCCTACCTTTCCAATAAGGAACACTGACCCTGCACACTTTCCTTTAATCACAACTGTTTAAATACAACTTTTTTAAAGAGTCCCTTTCTCCTGTACAAAATATGCTAAATTGTCTTTAGGAGCAAAATTCAAGAGCTGAGATTCATTCATTTATAACCAACTGAAGCCACGTAAGGGAAGTAGAGGGTGGGAGGCAGGACGCAGTGACAGGAAAGGCCGTGCGACAAAACCCAGTTAGTGCTCTGTGATGTTAGAAATCAGGACAGTGTTTATTCTAGGGAGGACGAGGGTGGGAGTGATTGGGAGCAGGGGCTTCCAGGGTGCTGGAGATTTTCTATCTTGATACAGGTAGCGATCACAAAGGTATGTTCATTTTCTGATCATTTATTGAGCTATGATTGGCATATTTTTCTGGACGTGAGTTCTCCTTCAATAACAAAACTGAAGACATTTAAAACATCAGTTCATCTTGCTTGGCCCACAAATAAAAAACACGCATACCAAAAAAAAAAAAAACCTTCCTATTTATTTTTCACACAAATTCCTAGTGACCAAGCATTCTCCTGCTTTGTCCCTTTATTCAATAAAAAGGATGAAACTTGAGGGCTTGCCTGGATGAAGAACCTGTAATCTGGCTGAAACGGTGTGTTGTACTTCCGGAGAACAGGGGAGACTTCGCTCTGGGTTTACTCTGGAAGAACTGTGCCGGAGGAGCAGTTCACCAGGAAATATTCATTTTTTAAAAAGAACACAAGTTTGAACTGTGGAGGGAGGGCTTCCAGGGAAAAGAGAAGATGAATAAGAATGTCATCCAGGAGGCTGAGTGCCAACTGAGGCTTGGGAAAACCAACCAACCAACCAACCATGACACTGGCGGACTTTGGCATGTGGTCCTCGCTGTCTGGAGAATGGCATTCCCTCTAAGGTCTTTATGTCAGGTGATGTTGTTTGTAAATATTTCTCAATTTGGGATTTTGAAAGAGAAAACTGGAAAGTACCTGGACCTCAATATCCTTGCCAATGTGGGACGAATTACCTATGGCCTGAACGTGAGACTAGGAGGCATGAGAATAAACGGATGGCGGGTGGAGGAGAGCTGGCACGAGAGCCTGAACACGAGCTCTCACTTCTGCAGAGAGCTGAGCACCTCAGGTCTTGGACCAGTTCTGCCAAGAGGGAAGTCCAGAGAATAGTCAGGGGATGGCCACCTTGAGTCTGCTGCACCCCGTAGGTTTCGGGCTGTCATATTTTCATTGTCATTTGTTTCTAGGAATTTTTTTTTATTTCCCTTTTTATTTCTTTAGTAACCTTTTCGTTATTTAAAAATGTATTGTTTAATCTCCATGTGTTTGTGTTTTTTACAGCTTTTTTTCCCTGTAATTGATATCTAGTCTCATAGTATTGTGGCCAGAAAAGATGCCTGATAGGATTTCGCTGATGCCTGATAATGATTTCAATTTTCTTAAATTTACTGAGGGGGGGATAGTCAACTTGAGTCTGACTATGTAGAATCCAGCACCTGTGTTCATCCTAACTGTTTCCCTGGCAAGTGCTTGGAAAATGCCCACCTATTAGGAACTTGGCTGCAGGTAAGTAATGCTATATTCATTGGAAGGACTGATGCTGAAGCTGAAACTCCAATACTTTGGCCACCTGATGCGAAGAGCTGACTCATTTGAAAAGACCCTGATGCTGGGAAAGATTGAGGGCAGGAGGAGAAGGGGACCACAGAGGATGAGATGGTTGGATGGCATCACCGACTCGATGGACATGGGTTTGGGTGGACTCCAGGAATTGGTGATGGACAGGGAGGCCTGGCGTGCTGCGGTTCATGGGGTTGCAAAGAGTCGGACATGATTGAGCGACTGAACTGAAGTAATGCTAAACTCCTCTTCGTCAGGTGATCCGATACCCAGGAAAACTGTGGCCTCAGGAGCCACAAAGACCCAGTTTACATCCCAGTGATGCCAGCTGAATTCATATGCATGCCCTGACTTCAGCCTCCTCACCCGTGAAAGGAGACTCTGAGCCAACCTTCATGACGTTCCCGTGAAAAACGTCCTTACCAAACACTCAATGAACATTCTTGCCCTTTCATGCCCATTGTTGATCACAATGGCCTCACCCAGTAATATTGCTGGTAAGTGTTCAGGAAAACATCTCTGCTTTTGGCAAGTGAAAATAGTCTAACTTCCTCAGCTGCTGCAGGGGGATAGTTCTCCTGAATTCTAACACGGAAACCATGCCAGGGCTGATGAGCACCAAGAAAAAACACGAAAGACACAAACCCAGAGCAATTCTATGTCATCCACTAACTACAGGTGTGCCCTGGAGAGATCAGCACAGCTTTTAAGGGAGAGTAGAAAGAATGCTAATTTGGGGGAGGACTATGAAAGAGTCTGCCTTACCTTGGCAGTAAGGAAAACATTAAAGTGTTCATTGAAGGAGAGTACAGGATGATCTGTAATTCTTTTCAGGAATTTATCCAAAGCTTTTCTTCTGGTCTCCACAAACTCTTCTGAAAATCGATCTACAACACCTTTCACCACAAACTTCTCAGGAAGTGGCTACAATGACATGAAGAAAAATATTCAGAGTAATTGATAGGAAGGTGCAAAGAAAAACTAGGCTAACAAATAAGTCCTGGGACCCATCCGTCAAGAATAGTCCTTCTTAAATCAGTTAGATCTTTATGTAGTCATCAGAATAAACAAGACTGAAAAAATGCCGATGGAGTAAAATTACAACTACACTGTCAATTTCATAATAATAATAAAAAATGAAACAGTAGAGCACGGTCTCTGGAATACCAAAAATAGTCAGGTAACATCTATCAGTAAATCCAGTTGTTATCTTTACGTCGCTTGATGCACAGGTGACAAAGTGGGAAAGTTAGGGCAAGATAAGAAAGACAGGAAAGGAGCCAGACACAAGCCATATTATTTAAATATCTTAAGATTCTACTTCCAGTTAAAGGAATAAAAGAATTTGGTAAATGAAAAAATAAGCATATTAGGGAAACCCCTGTGTCTATAAAATACCCTCTTTTCCAAAGCCTTTTTTTTTTTTGTTTAGGTTTATGTTTAAAAGTTCTTAATAATATAGCTTACTTTACTCCTTACTCGAATTTCTTCATTGTCTTTACTTTGGGCCAATGTTGTGGGCAATTTAATACTACCTGACCGCCAAGGGATCTTTGAGCTTTAATCTATTTCCGTAGCAGCTTCATTAAAAGGTCTTCCTCATCACTGCCACCACAGGGAAAGAGTATCCACTAATGCACAATTTGGAAGTGTTTTGATTATGAAATATTAAAAGAACATTTACATTTTAAAAAGTTTAAGTGACCCAGTAGACATCTGTCCAAAGAAAACATACAAATAGCCAAAATGCACATAAAAAGATGCTTGACATTATTAGTTATTAGGGAAATACAAACCAAAGTCACAGTGAGATCACATTTCACACCCATTAGGATGACCATAATAGAGACGGAGAAAGACAGTAAAGGAAAAGAAACAAGTGTTGATGAGGAGACCGAAAACTGGAACAAGCATTTAAGTCTGCAACCTCCTTAAATTCTGTAATATGTATATAAAGAAATATTTTTAAGTTATAAACCCTTAAGCGCATGAGTGCGTGCACACACATACAAAAATGTTGAAATAAGATACATGAACAAGAACTTAGCCCCCAAAAGTAGAATCCTAAGCACTTAAGAGTGGGGAAAGCCAGGAAGCAACCCAGATTTTATAACACAAGACATCTGAAATATTTAGGAACTGGCAATCCCAGCACTCCTGGAAAAGAAGCACTTGGGTATGAGAGAATTCAACAGCCTCAACCTGAAGAGCTTTGGAAAGACCAGATGTTTTTGATCTCAGGAGTCAAGACTCTACTGGGTACCAGCTTTGCCCCTGTGCCCCAGCTTGCTACAGAGAACATCCCCATGCCCAGAGCTAACTGTTTCATCTGCGCCCATCAGTCCACTGCCTTGCACCTGTCGTCATCAGTTAATTACTCCTTCTCTGCTGTTTGTCTTCAAATCCGACCTAGCTCTATTCCGAGTCTACAAAAACATGGTTGGTTCTCTTGCTACTGACCATGAAAAAAAAAAATCTCTCTCTTAACCTTATATCTTCTCCACTCTCCTTCCTGTCTCATTCAACCTTTTTGAAAAGAATCATTTACCTTTACTTTCACTCTTTCCCCTTGACTTCTCCACCCCTAAAGAGTTTGTGATGGACAGGGAGGCCTGGCATGCTGCGATTCATGGGGTCACAAAGAGTCGTACACGACTGAGCGACTGAACTGAACTGAACTGAACCTAACCTTTCTTTACCCCAAAATGAAGCCATATGTGATACTGCCTTCAAGGCTGCATTTCTCTGCCCCATCCCTGCCTAATGCAGAAACCACTCTTCTCAAGATTATCAAAACTTTCTAATTACCAAATCCAGGGATATTTTTATCTCATGAGTCCTGCTGAGCATACTCCCATCTGCTTATGCTGAAGAATAATTAGGGAAAAGGTCTAATGAGCAAATAAGTAGTCAGGTGTGCCTCATTTCACGTAACAGACAACTTTCTGAAAATAGTTTTCCATTCTTTAGATTTAGTACCTTGAACGTGGTTTAATGAACCAAAGAAGCTAGCTAGTTAAAGGAAACTGGGAGTGAATCCTGCTGCAAACAGAATTTCCCGCTGTAATAAGCAATCTTATCGTCAAATGTCTGTGGCTTCATAAACACGTTTCTTCCCATTTCAAGCTTCCTTAAAAGAATACACCTACTCTCTTCCTCACCCTTATAATTACCTCCTGGGTTGTTTATGCATAGGAATCTGCAGTGAAAGTCACTCAGTTGTGTCCTACTCTCTGTGACCCCATGAACTATATAGGCCATGGAATCTCTAGGCCAGAATACTGGAGTGGGTAGCCTATCCCTTCTCCAGCAGATCTTCTGGACCCAGGAATTGAACCCAGGTCTCCTGCATTACAGGCGGATTCTTTACCAACTGAGCTATCAGGGAAGCCCATACATGAATCTGGACTGCTGGTCAAGTCGAGGGTGACTATACCCCGTAAATAAAATAATACAAGTGAAGAGCTCAACACTGCTCCCAGCACATGGTAGATGTCAAATGATTGCCAACTATCTGTATTAAGTTGTAAATTCTGAGGACAGAAAGCAAAAAAGGAAGTGGACTAAACAGCAGAACTTCCATATATGTTTTAAGCCAAAGTATTTTTTTTAAAAATATCACCTGGGATAACATTTCAAATCCACTAGGATGGCCATAAAAGGCAGGAAAGAGAGGAAAATCACAAGTGTTGGTACATATACAGAGAAATGGAAATTCTCACACATTGCTGGCAGGAATGTAAAATGGCATAGCCACTGGCACAACAGTTTTCTCAGAAACTTAGAATTACCATATGATCGAGCAATTCTATTCCATGGTATATAGCCAAAATCACCAAAAGCAAGTTTTCACACAAAAACTTGTATAGCAAATGTTCAGGCAGCATTATTCATAATATTTGGGTTGGGGAAAAAGAAGGGATTGGAAGTGATCACTTAATGGGTATGGGACTTCTTTCTGGGGTGATGAAAATATTTTGAAATTAGATAGTGATGGTGATTGCAAAACACTGTGAATATAATAAAAGCCACTGAATTATATACACTTTGGTGAATTTTATGTTATGTGAGTTTTATCTTAATTTTAAAAAAAAATTGAAGGATGGAACCAGATGTCAGAGAGGAGAGGAGATGTAATGCCACTGGCTCTGAAGATGGAGGAATGGGCCTGAGTCAGGCAATGCAGGCAGCCTCCAGAAGATGGAAAAGGGAAGAACAAACTCCCCCTAGAAACTTCAGACGAGATACAGCCCATATATATTAATATACCAACTATTCTGCTAAGCCGCCTGCAGTGCAGGAGACCGGGTTCAATTCCTGGGTCCAGAAGATCCGCTGGAGAAGGAATAGGCTACCCACTCCAGTGTTCTTGATATTAGTCCATGGAGACTGATTTTGCACTCTTGACTTCCAGAACTATTAGATTAAAAAAATGTTGTTTAAGTCACTTTTTTGGGGAAAAAAAAAAAAATCACTTCATGTGGAGATGAGGGCGTGGGTAGGGACAGAGATGAAACAAGACTGGTCATGAGTTGATACGTGCTAAAACTAGGTGATGAGTACATGAGGGGTCACTGCACTGAATCGACTTTGACATTTTCCATAGTGAAAAAAAAACTGTATATGCATATACATGTTGGAGCTTTCAAAAATCCTATTTGCAAAATGCTACAATAATCTATTAAATATATCAAGGTTTAATCTTAAAACGTTTAATCTATTAAATATATCAAGGTTTAATCTTAAAACGTTTACATTTTAGAGCACTAAAGACTCTGGCAAAGCACTTTCATATATACCATACTTCATGTTAGTTTATAAGAAAGCATTTTATAATCTATGAAACAAAAGTATGGTAGATTGTTGCAGAAAAGCTACTGTTTCAGGGTAGGAAATCTGGACGAAGATTTCAACTGCTCAGTCTTTATGTGTCCTAAGTCCTCTTGTCATTTTTTTAACTGCTTCTTCCATGCAATTTGACAAATATTTACTGCATAGCCGCTACGTGACAGAAAACTATTTTTCCTATTCATAACAAACTAACAGAAAATATTGCTCCTAACCTAAAATAAGTAACAAACAAATAAAAGAGCATCAAGATTAAAAGGATATCTTAACTATCTGAAACAACATACATGGACTTGGAGGGTATTATACTAAGTGAAATAAGTCATACAGAGAAAGACAAACACTGTATGATGTCACTTATAACCCCGTGGTCACGTGGTGTGAGAGCTGGACCGTAAAGAAGGCTGAGTGCTGAAGAACTGATGCCTTCGAACTGTGGCACTGGAAAAGACTCCTGAGACTCCCCTGCACAGCAAGGAGATCAATCTTAAGGGAAATCAACCCTGAATACTCGTTGGAAGGACTGATGCTAAAGCTGAAACTCCAGTATTTCAGTCATCTGATGCAAACAGCTGACTCACTGGAAAAGTCCCTGATGCTGGGAACGACTGAGGGCAGAAGAAGAAGACAGCATCAGAGGACGAGATGGCTGGATCACTGATGCAATGGACATGAACTTGGGCAAACTTCAAGAGACAGTGAGGGGCAGAGAGGCCTGGCATGCTGCAGTCCCTGGGGTCACGGAGTCAAGACTGGGTGACTGAACATCATCACCACTTATACGCGGAATCTAAAAGATACAACAAACCAGTGACTGTAACCAAAACAGAAACAGACTCACAGATACAGAGAGCAAGCTAGCAGTTACCAGTGGGGAGAGGGGAGAGGCAATTACAGAAGTAGGAGAGTAAGAGGTGCAAACTATTAGGTGTAAAATAAGCTACAAGAGTATACTGTACAACGCTGGAAATACAGCCAAAATTCCATGGTAACTATAAGTGGAGCATAACCTTTAAAAACTGTGAGTCACTACACTGTACACCTGTCATTTATATAATATTGTACCTCAACTATAC